AGGAGTGAGGTCTCAATGGGGAAATAAGTGGTAAAAGTATCTGAAAGAGCTGAATCTTTTCTAGAGAATCAAAAGCTCAGGAAAAGGTGATGGTGGCATCTACGGCATGATGCCTCATATCATCAAGTAAGGGGAAAAAGAGCCAGAGTAGTGAGGGAGTACCCTCTCTACCAAGGGCAATAACTCTGAGTAAGCAAAATCTCACAGTGGTAACACCCACATAAACTAGTGGGACCCTGCGGGAAGTGAAAGTGACCTGAACACATTCATAAGACTGATATGGCGACTGAGCCTAGTGTATGAATTGTAAGATGGGTCAAAGAAAAGAGTAAAAGAACTAATCTTCTGCTAGAATCAAAGTTCTCAGAGTAGTGATATTAATATCCGAGGCAAGGTATACTACATCACTACAAGAAAATTAGCTCCAGGTAGTAAGGGGACGCACTCACTACCTGAGGATAGTAATCATAAATAGGATTGATAAAACATTAAAAGGGTCACAATGGTAACACCTACCCTAATTGGGTAGGACCCTGTGAGGAGAAAAAAGCAACAAAATAATATTCATAGAGCTACTCTAGCAGCTAAGAGTAGTGGTACGAATGCTGAATGTGAGTGAGTAAAAGAACCAGGGAGCTAATCTTCTACTAGAAAACCTGAGCTCCTGAGGATATGATGTTAACACCTGAGAGAGGGTGTACTACATCACAACTAAGGAAAAAACTCTAGGTAGTGAAGGGGGGTTTCTTCTCTACCAAGGATAGTAATCATGAATGACATCAATGATTACCGGAAGGGTCACACTGGTAATACCTATCCTAATTGGGTAGGACCCTGTGAGAAGCCAAAACAACAAGAGAACATTCATAGGGCTACTCTAGCAGCTTAGAGTAGAGTACAAATGTTGTAATAGGTCGGCGAAAGAAACTGGGGAGTTGATCTTCCAATAGGAAATCAGAGCTCCTGGAACTGTGGTGCTAACACCTGAGAACAGACGTACTACATCACAGCTAAGAAAATAACTCTGAGGTGACAAGGGAGCACACCTGACACCTAATCTGATAATCATGAGTGAGATTTATGATTATCATAAGACCACAGCGGTAACACCTACCCTAATCAGGTAGGACCCTGTGCGGCTGTTGGTGGAATTTTGAAAACATATTTTAAAAAATATTAGTCTTCTTTGGGGATTTTAAGATTAAGGTTGAGCTCTAATTCTAAAGTCGAATCAACTCGTTAGAAAGAGTATATCACCCTGGGGGACAAAGATAAACTTTCATAGCGGTGTTCAGACTTAGAATTATGTAAACTCATCTTGAATATTATGATCGGGTCCTAAAGAGAACTTCATATGGCCCCGAAGGAACAAAGTAGAGTTCAACTAAATACCCAATTACAATATTCAAGAAGTATGATCGTCGCATTCACATCCAAAGCCTTGTCGAAGAAGGATGTATCTCCCCAAAGGGAAATGACACCATTCTATGATAATTCTTCTAATGCAACGATGACGATCATTCTTTAACTTTACCCAAAGAAATCTAGTGAAGTTTTAAAATCAATTTTGAAATCAGGTGTGTGGGGTTCCAAACCTCCTACGAGCGCAAGCCCTCATAGTTAATTACATCGTAGGGAGACAAAGTCCCCTACGAAAACTCTCGATTAGAATAAGAATAAAATTTTGTTAGATTTTCTATGAGTGATATCAAAGCATGAATAGAATTATTGGAAAATCAAAAGGGAATGGATCAAAATTTGTGAGAGCTCGTTCCTTTGATTTGTTTCTCTGTAGATGTGATTTTCCTCCCAGGATCGTCCGGGACGATATTGAGATCGTCCGGGACGATCAGTGCCTTGAAAAAGCTGATTTTTTTTAGTGCAGTTCGTCTGTACGAACTGGATTTAGTACTGGACGAACTGAAGAAATTTGTGAAGAAATCTGTCATTTTCGTCTGTACGAACCTGGAAGGGTCGGGACGATCCGTCTGTACGAAATTTGTCCAGAGAGCAAGTCGTCCGGACGCTATTTAATTTCGTCTGCACGAAATTTTGCCAGAGGGCAAATCGTCCCGGGACGAAAATTGGATCGTCCGGGACGATCAGTGTTGATAAATATCCGATTGAGATATTTTGGATTCTTTTGAAGAGAGAGAAGGAGAAGGTAAGAGGAAGAAAGTAAGACTGTCAGACAAATCCTTTCACTATGGATGCCTGGGGCGTCACAGAATGTGGGTTTGCTTTTTAACCTGTTGCCTGGTTTCATTGTCCAATTAATTTTGGATATTTCTATTCGTGTTGATTTGGAGGATTGTATTTTGTCTTCCTGTTCCAATGATGGTAGATTTAGTATTAAGCATGTTTGGAAGTGTACGTATCAAACAACCTTTGCCTACTAATTTTGTTAATGTGGCTTATTGGCATTCTAGCATTCCTACTACTTACTCTTTTCTTGTTTGGAGGATTTTACATAGATATATTCCCGTGGATACTTTGCTTATGAAGAAAGGTATTACTATTGTGTCTAAATGTCAATGTTGCTATCATGTTGAAAGCCTTCTCCATGTTTTTTTCCAAGGCCCCATTGCGATGAAAGTTTGGATTCATTTTGATAACTTATTTAATGTTTTTACCACTTATAATCTTAACTCTATGAATGATGTTTTTGCGGTTTGGTTTACTAAACTTAAATGTCACATTCGTATCATTATTCCTGTTTTAATTTGCTGGTATATTTGGGAGAGTAGGAATGCCTCTAAATATTCCAATGAGAATATGGACGCTAACACTATTATTTCTAAAGTTAAGCATAAAATTATTCAACTTTTTGTGGCTAAGATCCTCAAGAAGGATTCTTTCAAAGGGTACCGTCATTTGACTGATGTCTTTGGTTTGGCTTTTCCTTCTACTGTCTCTACTCCTATCAACATACTTATTCTTTGGAAGAAACCTGGGGAGGGAATTTTCAAACTTAATACTGATGGGGCTTTTAACCATTTTGGAGCGGGCTGTGGTGGTGTTATTAGAGATAATAAAGGTTTTGTCATAAAGGCTTTTTCGGGCCCTTCTAAGGCTAGTAATGCTATTCAGGCTGAGTTGGATAGTTTGCTTTACGGGATTAGACTTTGTCATTCTGCTGGGATTATGAATCTTTGGGTTGAGGTTGATGCTATGCTTCTTATTCAGTATATTATTGGGCAATGTTCTGCTAGTTCTGATAATTTTTATAGAATTAGAGATATTAAGAATTTTCTGTCTAAAACGTCTTTCTACATTTCTCACATTTTCAGGGAAGGAAATGCGGTTGCTGATTTCCTTGCTAAAAGGGGTTGTAGTCTTGAGGTTGTGGAGGAGTTTGTTGAGCACAATCTTCCCATTGGTGCTAGAGGTCTTGTTAGACTTGACCGTTTGGGTATTCCTTATTGTCGTGAGTAGGTTTTAGTCTTTTTTCGTTCTTTTCCTTGGTGATTAATGCTGTTTTCTTATTTTCTGTTTTCTTTTTTCTGTTATCTGCTATTGTGGCCTTTCTGGTTTTGGTTGCTTGGCGGCTTAATCCATACTCCTGTTATGCATTTTTCTGCCTTTCTGGTACCCTGGTTAGCTGGTCTCGGTGGTTGGTGTTCTCGTTGATCCCTGCTTTCATGTTGTTTGATACTGGTTATGATTCATTTGGTTATTTATTATTGCATTGGTATCTTGTCATCCTGGGGTGCTCTATTTTCTGGAGTTTTTACTTTGGTTTGGTTGTTATGTGGTTTAAGCTTTTCTTCAATACTCCCTTTATGATCTCATTGGTTGTTATGTGATGAATTTTTCTGCTGCTGTTTGGGGGATTTCGTCAGATTTCCTGATTATGCTGGGTGGTATTAGTTGCAAATTAATTACCCTTTTAAGTTCTTCCTTGTGTTGGTGGACTGCCTTTTTGTTGAGTTCTGCTATCATTTTTATCAGGAAAGCTGCAATGTTTTCTTTATATGTTTATGATTTATTTCAATCTGCTATCTGCCACCACTGTTATATGTTGCTGTCTCTTTTTGTTTCCTTTGTCCGTTTGGAGGTTTTGCTTGGGCTTGCTGTGATCCAATTAGTTAATTTTAATTCTTGGAGTTGGTTTACTATGAACCTGGGTTCTTTTTCTTTTTGGAGGTGGTATCATGGGTCCTTTGCGATGTGGTATAAGCTGCTTCTTCCTAACTGCTTTCTTGAACTATATATTGTGCTGTTTCTTATCTACTGTTGGTTGGGGAATTTCGTTTGTCTTTCTGATAATTCTAGGTGGTGTAAGGTGCAGATTATTTGTGACTATGGCTTTACGATCCTCTGTAATTCCTATTTTGTTTCCTGGAGATTGTCTTTTCGGAGTATTAAAAGGATGACTATTATCAATATGAAGGCTATCTTTTGGACTTTTTACAAGGATCTTTTGATCTCCTTTGTTCCTGATTTTCACTATATATCTAATATTTTTTGTGGAGTTTGCCTTGCAGGGATTTTTACAGAGTGAACATTACTATTAGCAAGGTACTCTCTTTTAATTTTATGCATTTCCATTTTGGCTATTTTTGGTCTTTTTGCAGGAAGATGATGCTGAAGCTCTTGATCCTGATCTTCCTTTTTTGGGGGCTGCTTTCTGTCAGCACTATTTTTGCTTTATGTTCTTTTTGTAATCCTAGTACAAGGATCTGCCGGCTCTTAGGTTTTCTTTTTTTCCTTTATGACTGTAGCTCGTTCGGGTATTACTGAGCTGGCGGAGCCTTTTAAGGACTCTGTAACCGTTTTTTTATATCAACACGTAGGCCCTCTATGGGTTTAAACTTAAAAAAAAAAAAGTGATATATCATGATAAAATTATATAATTTTAATATTTTTATCGAATCAAATATAAGAAAGATAGATGGTTCATTGAAATTTTTTTTTTTTAATTATATGAAGCTTCTCTCCCTTCCTTCTCTCCATAAATAAAGCCTGATCGAAGACGTTGCATTCAGCTCATCAAAACAATGAGAAGCCTCTGCACAGCAAAGAAACCTCTCCGCTATTCGCAACCTCCTCCCCGCCACCACCACCACTTCCTCCTCCTCCTCCTTCTCCTTCTCACGGTTATCTTCCTCCTCTATTACCGGCCACTACCTCCACAGCGCCGCCCCATCCAGCCCCCTGACCTCTCCCACTGCCTCCTCATCTCCATCGACCCTCCCTCTTCCCCTCCCCTCAACTGCTGCGCTCTCAGTTTAGTCTCCTCTGATCTCCAAAAAATCCTCAACTTCACATTCCCTATCTCTTCCTCTCCTCTCCGCATCCGCCCCGCCGCGCACCTCGTCGACTCCCGCTACATTTCCCAGTACTCCAAAGCCGTTCAGTTAATGAAAGACCTTCCCGAAAGCGACCCACGTAGCTTTTTTCAACAAGCAAATATTCACTGTGCTTATTGCAATGGCGCGTATGACCAGCTCGGTTTCTCTAATCTCCAACTTCTTATTCATAACTCCTGGCTGTTTTTTCCCTGGCATAGACTTTACTTGTATTTCCATGAACGTATACTCGCGAAGCTCATTGGAGACGACTCCTTTGCTCTGCCTTTTTGGAATTGGGATTCTCCGGACGACATGCGAATACCCTCCATGTACCTAAATAATTTTTTCTTTAATATTTCTTCTTCTTCTTCTTCTTCTTCTTCGCCGCTTTATCATCCAAATAGAGACCCCTCCCACCAGCCGCCGGTAATGGTGGATCTCAATTTCCTTGAAGTTGGAAGTGATCAGGCTGTCGTATATCCTAGTGTGGATGACAATCTCAGGATCATGTACAGGTGCAGGCAATTTTAATATAAACTAAAAGAAATATATTTGCGCATGCATGTAAAAATATTTTTATAATTCTTTATTGATTTATGTTTCTCTGCAGACAGATGATGGAGAACGGGGCGACCACGGAGCTGTTCTTAGGCTCAGCATTTCGAGCAGGAGAGCAACCAGAACCCGGTCCGGGGTCAGTGGAAGTCATTCCACACAACACGCTTCATGTCTGGGCCGGCGACCCGCGGAAGCAGAACAGGGAGGACATGGGAGCTTTCTACTCCGCCGCACGCGACCCAATTTTCTACGCACACCATGCCAATATGGACCGGCTATGGTTGGTCTGGAAATCGCTCGGCCGAAAGCATATGGACTTCTCCGATTCGGATTGGCTCGACTCGGCTTTCCTCTTCTACGACGAAGAGGCTCGGCTTGTAAGAGTAAAAGTTAGAGATTGTCTTGATATAGACCGATTACGATACCGATATCAGGAAGTCGAAAACCCTTGGATCAACGCAAGCCGACGCTCGCATGCAACGAAGAACAAGAAGAAGAGCAATAACATCCAATATAATTATGCGGAGGAGTTGGGGTTTCCGGTGAAGGTGGAGAAGGAGGCGGTGGTGGTGAGAGTGATGAGGCCGAGGAGAGGTGGTGGGGAGGAAGTGGAGGTGTTGGTGGTGGAAGGTATAGAGACTGAAGGAACGGAGTCGACGAGGTTTGACGTGTATGTGAATGCGTCGCCGGCGGAGCTCCAGCACCCAGCGGCGAGGGAATGTGCGGGGAGTTTTGTGAGTCTGCCGCAGCTGAGAAGGGAAGGGAAGCGGAGGACGAATTTGAAATTGGGGATTAGCGAGCTGATTGAAGACTTGAGGGCGGAGGATGATGACACTGTACTCGTGACATTAGTGCCGCGAAAAGGGGCAGCCACCGTAGCTGGACTCTCCATCGTGTTGCTATCCTAAATAATAAATATATTTTATTTGTTATTATAACATATATATATGTTGGAAATTAAACTTAATTTGGCCCGTTATTATTTGGGCTTTTGATTGAAGCCCATAATCTAGAGTATATATATATATATATATATAATCTGTATTCAGAAGTATTATATGTTTTTAGGTAATTCTGTATTTGAAATTGTGTAAGTTATCTGATAAAAAATTCTTAAGAATAATGTCTTCAAGATTTTTTTTAACTGCAACAATCAAAACATTGAATCTTTATTATACTTCGTGGTTAGTTATATGAATTATTTTTATTTAATATATATTGTTAAAAGTCAAATTATTATTTAAATGTAACTAAAAAAAGTCATTTCTAATATTTTTAATCAATTTTTTTTTGTATGTATCTACATTTCTTAACCTAGATCAAATCTAATACATATACTTTCATAACTGGATCATCAGAATACTGACATTTTATATGAACAAACCATCTAAGACAACTCTTTCTAATCTTATATGCCACTGAAGCTACTCCAATATTTTCACGTATACGCTCGTTTCGCATTCTGCATCTAAGAGTAAAGTCATTCATCCACCCGAGGATCCTAATCTTTGCAACACTTAACTTAATTTTCTGCTTCTCTTTTAATGGCTAACTTTCTGCACTATAAAATATTGTAGGTCTCACCATCGCGTCTTATATAATTTTATCATAAGTTTGCGGGGTACATTTCTATCACATAACAGGCTTAATTAATGCATTCTTCTACTTTAACCATCCAACTTGAATTCTACTAATAATATCATTATCGATCTATTTCACCATCATGCTGAACAATAGACACAATATATCTAAAATATGCACTCTTATTAATGACCTGATTGCTCAAAGTCATAATCCTCACAATAAATCTAGTACTACTAAAATTAAACATCATGTATTCGAGTTTAGATCTACTCAAACAAAAACCTTTAAACTCTAAGGTTAACATTCATAATTCAAGTTTACCTTCAACTCCCTCTCTAAACTTATCAATAAGAAGAATATCATCAAGAAAAAGCATACACTAGGGTAAAATTCTTCTGCAAATTATTAATTTGTGTGGAACCTGATTGTGAAAATCTTAATCAAGTATGCCTTATAAATTAATTTATGTTGTTATTTCATTCTTATATACAACTCAATAAACTTGTCAAATTACTCAAAAATTCATAACAACCAATATATCTAGCAAAGCTTAATTATATAGTAGTGAAAATCTCTATAAAATTTATATCTATTGTATACAAAAAAATTACACTGTAGAAGTGCATTAAATTATGAGAAAATATATTTTTATCAATCTAGAAAAGATTAAACCCATCAAACTCAAAATTATTAAAAATAAGAGTAGGATTCAAGTTACCTATCATAACTAGAAGAAATCTATGAACAAAATCAATGTACAAAAATGCTCTAAATTCCTCTATCTTTCTTCCCCTCCTCTCTCTCTTCCTTTCCTTCCTCGTCAAGCTTAAGGGCTAGGTGTAATAGCTCATATTTTAACTCAGATAAATAAAATTTTTTAGTAGTCATTATAAATTCAAATCATAAATAATTTTCGCCATGATATATAACTGCATTTTAATTATAATATTTTTTTCATAATTTTTTGGCATGAGTATAAATCCTTAAGAAATTTACACTTATTAGTACAAGTAGAGATTTTGGGACCATCAGATATCAATTTTACAAATTGATTTCACAAAAGTATTATAAATATGATGGATTAGTTTATGAATATTTTTCTATAATTTTAAAACTCTAAAACATTTATATAAATTTAAAACTAAAAACTAAATAAATTAGATAATTATATTATTATTTTGATCAAAATATCTTATCCACCCCTTCAAATTTTATTTAATGCCTTTCTTATAATTCAATCTTACCAAAGAGCACAACAGAGAAAGAAGGTAAATTTAGAGAGAAAAAAGAAAATTAAAGATTTACAAGTAGTGAAACAATTTTTGCTAGCATGTTTCATCATAAAAGTTGCTGGTCTCAAATAATTATCTTATCATGATTATAATTATATATTTTGTGTTTTATATATTTTAATTTCATCGAAACTTGTAATATTCCTGAACCATTAAGTTCTACTGCCTGCTAGACAAAGACAAGCAGGCGGAGGCGATTCCATTCCCAAAGAACTTTGGAGTTAGAGGCGGCTCAAGCTGCTTACTTACATTCATGATTCACCAAAACTAGAAGCTTAGTTGGTTCGGCCGATGTTGATGCAGAGCATCTTAGTAAAATTGTTTCTTATGCATATGTTAATTAATTTGTTACAAATTTATAAAACTTTTTAGGTTTCTCTATGTGCCTTTTGCTACCTTATAAATATAATAGTTGTATGATAGAATTAGGAATGAATTAGTATTTTTTTGGAATTTGAAACAGTTTTTACTGTTTTTGGTCTCCAAGAGTTGTTTAGCTCTTCTTCATCTTACTTCTTCATTTTTCTCCCCACATCAGATGGTATTAGAGCGAGGTATGACCCTTGATGTCGATCAAGGCCCTGAATTGCTGCTACATCAACCCTTGACGTCCATCGGCCGATGCGATGTTGAGTGCTTTGGATCGGCCGATCCAAAGGAACAAGCGAGCGAAGCAAAGAAGCTCGACTGGTCTTGACCGGAGCTGGTGACGAGTTGTTTTAAGAGCAAAAGCTTAGTAAAATCAAATCCAAAGCGGCGGGCGAGAGGGAGAGAGTTCGAGGGAACTGAGATATATGGGCCAGTTTGGCGTATTCCGAGTGGTGAAATTTGGTGTCCGGTGTTGGCTTGTGTGTATGATTGATCGATCAAGAGACGACGGTAGATATAGCGGCAAACCACGAGCAGTGTCCGTCCAGGCTTGAAGGAATTTGTGCATTGATATGTCATTAACTATTGAATGGTTAAATGCTAAGCCTATAGAGACATAATGACAGAACTTATATTGTCGTTGCCATCGCTGCCGCCGCCGCCACCACTCCGGCATGTGGTTGCTGGGAAGCAATAGATAACCTTTACGAGGACTATAAAGTTTTGGTCGAGATTTGATAGGAATTAAGGGACAGTTGAAATTGCTTCGGATGGATGAAGGATTACTGGAATTGAACGGCTTATGTTGATCATCTATACTATTATTATAAAAGTTGTGTGAATTTTCTTCTACATCAAATCTTTGTCATCTGTTTTAATTCTTCTAAAATTATCTTATCTTTTCATTGTATTCTAAATAATTAATAAATCTAAAAATATATAATATTATCATCTACTGCTCTTATTTAGTAGTTGTGAATAAAATTTGCCCCATTTTGCAATTTGGAAACCGCGATCATCTCATTTCAATTATGATTAGCGATTTGCGTTTGCCCCATATGTACTTAAATGCACGATAATTAATCTTTAATTTATCCATTAACCCTCCGTGGAAGATCTGGCCACCGTTGATTGCTTCTTGACGGACCATGATACGAGAGTGTTGCCGAAGAAGGTGCAATATCCTGAAACTGATTTACGATCTTCTGAATCAGATGCCCAATCTGCGTCGGCATAGTTGCACAGTTGAAGAGAACCAATGTTAATAGGAAGCCCATAGTGTAACGTACCTTGTAACTACCGTAGGAGGCGTTTCAATGCTTGATAGTCGGAGTTTCGTGGTTGATGCATGTGTTGACATATGCGATTTGTCGCGAAGGCAATGTCGGGGCAGGTTATTGAGAAGTATTGAAGTGATCCGGCAAGCTTGCGGAAGTTATGTGGATCTAAGTATAAAGAGTCATCCATAGAGTAGTCCCGTCTTGTGATGCCTACAGGAGTTGTATATGGTTTGCACGTTGAGAATCCTGCTGTACTGAGAAGCTCTTCTGCGTAATGCTTTTGTGTTAGGAAATAACCATTTGCTGTAGGGATGATTTGTATGCCGAGAAACAGTGATGCTGCCCCAAGTAGTTTTATTCGGAACTGATCCTGTAGGTGTTTAATGACATTTTGAATTTAGGCTGGATTATTGCCAGTGATTAGTATGTCGTCTACGTACACAACAATGAAAATATGAGTGGAATTTTTGTTGAAGATCAGTAGCGATGGATCGACTTTACTGAATTTGAAACCACGGTTTGTGAGACAGTTTGCAAATTGTTGAAACCATTGTCGAGGAGATTGCTTCAATCCGTAGATCGACTTGTGCAACCTGCACACGTGGTGAGGGTGTTAAGCATCAATAAAGTCGATCGGTTGTTTCATATAGACCTCATCCTGTATTTCACCATGTAAGAATGCATTTGATATGTTTAACTGCGTGATGGTCCAGTTATGGTGTAATGCGACGGTGAGCATCATGCGGATGGTGACCATTTTTGCTAGTGGGCTGAATGTCTCTGTGTAATTAATACTGTATTCTTGGGAATAGCCGAATGCGACGAGTCGTGCCTTGTAATGATCGATTTGTCCATTGGGTAGTAGTTTAGTCTTAAAAGTCCATTTGCATCCGACAATGGGTTTGTTTGTTAGAGGTGGCACGAGTGACAAGGTGCCTTGTTGTTGAAGTGCGAGAAACTCGGTAGACATGGCAGTACGCCATTGAGGTAGTTTGCATGCTTGATAATAGGAAGTTGGAGTCTGTTTGGGAGTTGTCCAAACCTCGTGTGAAGTTTTTAACGTGATGACGTAGGGTAGGACGGAGGGGGAGATGGTGGAGAACAGGGCCAAGATAAGATTATGGTATATGGTTTTCCATAGATTGTGTGTGGATGCAGAGTTTTCTTGCGGGCAAGAAGCGGTACCTGGTAGGTATTCGCTGAATCCGTTTGCAGAAAAGTGTTGGTGGATTTGTATCCTCCATATTGGGTAGTTTTCGCTGGTGAGAAGGGTGGGAACAAGATTCTTGAGGTTTGTGTTACCGGTGTGTCGCTGAGATGAGGTGGTTGAGCCTTGATCGGCCATTTGGATCTTCGCCGTGGTGCTTTTACGGCTTTGATACCATAAAGGAAAAGCTACGAGGAACCGAGAAGGAAAAGGCAGAGAGATGAACGTAAAACAGAAAACAGAGAAAATGATTCTTCTTATTAATTCATGTATCGGTACAGGCTTTATATAATATATGAGATACAGTAGAGGGCAATTCTTGATTGCCTATACTTTCTTGCTGAGTCATCCTAGATACATATATCGCTACACTAACACTAGCAATACCCTGGTCTATACAAATCAGCTAATACATAGCAATATTGGGTTCCGGTCCGGATCGGGTCGTCGGGTCGCGCGGTAAAGAGTAAGAGCACGTGGTGACATTTTATTAGCGTCCGGATGTAGAGTTACGTCAGGTGTCCGGACCTAATAAAAATTCTAGGTTGAGGTGGGTATGTCTTGGGTACTTAAATATAATAGTGGAATTCGATTTAAAAAAAAAAAATTCAAGTGACCTAGAGCCGCTATAATCAATAAGCTAAAACCTTCCATACATAAAGGCCAACGTTATTGTGCTTGCTGACGTAATACTGCTGTGCTCAAACCAGATTTCCATGCATGCAAGATTTTCAAATCAATTTCATATTAGATCATTATCAACTAATTAGTTAATTAATTAAAATTTAGGTCATTACATAAGAAGACAATGAGGCATAATTAATAGAGTAGGAGTATATTGAGATCAACCTAGCCAACATGGTATGCAGTGGCGGAGCCAGAAATTTTGTTCATAGGGGGGTCTAATGAAAGCCGTTCTCAAGGTTGTGACTCGTGAGTCGTGAGAGATGAGTAAAGAGGAAAACGAATCATTAATTCTTTTCATATGTCCAAAAAAAAATATCGGTGGCTTATATGGATTAATAAATATCTTTAAAAGAAAGAATTATACAAATTAGAGCATGATTTCTCGTTGGCAAAATTGATGCTCTATTAAGCTACTAAAACAATTTGTTTTAAACCCCTTTAGGTTTTCAATTTTAGCTTTAGTATGGAAGTGGAGACAGGAGTTGAATATACATAGTATTGATTTAGTTAGATGCGCTGTCATGAGTGTGCGGCTGCAGCACTTTCATTGCGCAAAAAAAGCGAGGAAAAGCAAAACCCTTCACAGTAATCAATTAAATCATTAGCATTGAAAAAATAATTAAATAATTGGGTGTTAATTTTATATTTAATAATTAATATTAGCTAATAAATAACTAGTTAATTATGAAAGTTTTAATAAAATCATATTTAAATAATTAATCAAATAGCCTGTAACTCTGCATTAAAATATCGTTTTATCATTCTTTTCACAATGGAAAGTCATTCCTCACTTTCCCTTTCAGTATTTTACCCCATTACTCTTTCTCCCTCTACAGCTTTAAGAAGAGAAGGTGGACTAAAGGCTTAGAATGTAAAAAACCTGTAATAAATAAAATGAAAGCTGACATTTTTTACGGGAGCTCCTATAACGTCAAGCTATCAACTTTTTACCCCTCTACCTAAGTAAAATTTTGTTTAGGAGGGGCACATGCCCCCCACCCCGCCCATGATGGTATGTGTAGGGGTGTAAACGAGTCGAGTCGAGTCAAGTATTAGCCTTATCAAACATGGCTCGTTTGATCCTTAATGAGCTCGAACTCGAGCTCGAATTCGAGCTCGATTAATGAGCTCGAGATCGACTCGTTTATAAAATATCAAGCGAGCTCAACTCGAAAGCTCGAGCTCGTTTAAAAAGCTCGAGATCGAGCTTGTTTAGAAAGCTCGAACTCAACTTTTAAATCTTTTAATTGGCATGAGTCTTTAATTTTAACCAAAATTTTCTTTTTTTTTAGAAATCTTTCTTCTAACACTTAATTAAAATTTGTTTTCAACAATAAAAAAATAACTTAAATAATCATAAAACGTCTAGAACTTTAACTATTAATTTCTTTTAAAAAAAATGTAAGTTGTAGAAGAATCATGTTTCTTTAAAAAATTTTATTTAAAAATTTGATCAATATCAACTTATCAACTGAAATTTTTATATGATTAAGTACTATAAAAACTTGAAAAATATAGTAATAGAACTTTCAATAATAAAAAAATTTGACCAAATTGCATTTCATATCATCATTACAAAAAAACAATTTGAATCATACAACTCATTAAGAAGTTTCATAATATAACATAAGTAAAAATTGAATAGAAGATAGAACTATATATTTCTTATATGTCTGATATTTGGATGTTTCATAATCTTCAAATTCTTCCATCTCTACGGTACCAATTAATATGATAAAAACTTGTAAATTAAGATAAAAACAAAATAATAATTATTTTAGAAATGGGGTAAAAAGAAAATTATTATCTTACAAAATATTCCACAGACAAAATTCAAAAGCAATCTTACCGCTCAAACCTAACTATCAACATAAGAGTGTAGATGGTCATCCTGTCTTTCAATCTCAATATTTGCAGGCTCAATATTATCTCCTTCCATACTAACTGGTGTTGACATTCTAAAAAATCGATAAGAACATGAGAATGGAAAATATATTTAACATCTAAAAACTAATACTAATATTTTTAACTGCAAGTAAGAGAATCAAAGAAATACGGATTCAACATATAGGTTATTTCTAGATAAAGCATGAGTGAATTTTTTTCTATTGAGATAGAATTTAAAAGCAACAACAACATTCTTAACCTTCAAAACCCTGTAAGAATTATGTAACATTTCTCAAACCTGGGCAAGAAAAACAAATGGCCGCCATATAATTTCAGGAAAAAGAAATCTGTTTACTTATTGATAAGGATTATAAAACGAAATCTGTTTACTCAAACCTGGGCAAGAAAAACAAATGGCAACCATAAGCAGTATACCAAATTTCTTCTAAATATGCTTCATCATTTTCTGGGAACTAAAGCTTTAACCTAGAACCTCATATCCTCACAAAGTTCTGTACTAGTAATTATATCAAAGTTTTCTAAATAAACGGAAAAATGACCAATCATTTACAAAAAACTTCATGGGTAACTAGTAAATGAAACGGCTTCAGGTAAGAGAAAATTTCAGGGTATACCTTCATGACCAATCATTTTAATTACTGCGTTTATTAGTAAGAGAAAATTTCAGGTGTACCTATCAAACGGCTATTTACTGAACATTTCTTGTAGATCTACAACAATCATCAAACGGCTTATAGTATACTTATTAACTGAAGCAAAGTTATAGTTTACCTATCAAACGACTTCAATGAAAATTTCCACAAGCTGGCGAAGTCCTCAACTGCACGAACAAAAAAAAAAAAAAAACGACCTAACTACAGCTTATGGTGGCGGATAGAAACTCCGAATTGAAGCAAACCGGATGAAAGCAAAGTTTAACCGGAGCAGATAGCAACTCCAGCATCTGATGAATGAAGGCAAGAAACGACCTAACCAGAGCTTGAAAACCGGAAGAACGAAGTCAAGAAACTATGATGAAGGAAATAAGAGAACTAACCGGAGAAGAAAACAGGTGGAGCACCGGAAAAACGAAGTCAAAGAAAGATGCCCTAGCGTCGGCGCCGCACTCTAGGTCTCTGCCTCACGAACGAATGAAATATGTGAACCAGCTCTTCACTTCGTAGAGATGGAAGTTAATTTGCTTTCATCCGGTTCATATTGAATCCGGTCCATGTGTCCAGCGCTAACATCTTTCGAGACCGCGACAGTGCGCAATAGTGCATTCAGATTTGAGTTTCGAAAATTCGCCCGCCTGAATTAATCGAGCCGGCTCGACGAGCCCTCGAGCCGGACATGGTTTATATCGAACTCGAGATCGTTAATAGACCGAGCTCGAAATTAAGCTCGAACTCGAGCTCGAAGCTCGATAAGCTCGACTCACGAGCTCGTTTACGAGTCTAGCTCGAGTCAGCTCGCGAGCCGGCTTGACTCGCTTACACCCCTAGGTATGTGTAAGTAAAATTAAGTTAATTTGTTAAATAAGATGGTTAAATATATATCTTATCACCATTGTCAAAGCATTATTGTTGTTAATTAAAAATAATTTATGTGAAGGACAAAATGAGAAGTGACATTTATGGTGGATATATAGCTACGCTTGTGAGTTTGATTGAAAATAAATCAACAAACAACCAATTTGAGTCGTTGATAATTAAATCCCATAACCCTACATATTAATGTTTTGTGAACCTTTCGTTGTTGGCTGATCGTTTTGATGGTATAGGGCTGATAGTTTAAAATTAAGTTTTCATAATTTTTTTTAATAATATCTTAGAATAGAATTTTGATTGCCTTATAATTTTGCCCCACCATCAATATTCCAAAATAATATGACCTAATTTTGTTAATAATAATAATTTTGATCAAGCACGATTCTCGAGGCAAAACCGAGCCGGAAACTTCAAAATTTAAATCTGTGAGCTACTGAACTCCGATTTCAACGATCTTATAGTCAATCTGAGTGTCTCGAAAATATGAACCCAACGACACCAAATTCAACTCAATCCGAGCCCAAATGAGTCAAAATCAAGTACCTGAAGTTCCGTTGGAAAGCTCGTACCACAATTTGAGTTACCAAACGGTCTCTGATTTTAACGAGCTTATAGTCGAATCGAATGGCTCGACGAGACGAATCCAACGAACCCAAGATCATTGAATTCCAACATCACTAAGGCCTTCAAATATCTGACGAACAATGCACGATCAAGAGATTCAATATCAGCCGTCCATTCGACCACTCCATATTAGCATGATAAAATTATATAATTTTAATCTTTTTATCGAATCAAATATCAGAAAGATGGTTCATTGAAATGGTATTATTATTATATGAAGCTTCTCTCCCTTCTTTCTCACCATAAATAAAGACTGAAGACGTTGCATTCAGCTCAAAACAATGAGAAGCCTCTGCACAGCAAAGAAACCTCTCCTCTATTCGCAACCTCCTCCCCGCCACCACCACTTCCTCCTCCTCCTCCTCCTCTTTCTCACAGTTATCTTCCTCCTCTATCCTCGGCCACTACCTCCACAGCGCCCCATCCAGCCCCCTGACCTCTCCCACTGCCTCCTCATCTCTATCAACACTCCCTCTTCCCCTCCCCTCAACTGCTGCGCTCTCAGTTTAGTCTCCTCTGATCTCCAAATCCTCAACTTCACATTCCCTCTCCCTTCTTCTCCTCTCCGCATCCGCCCCGCCGCTCACCTCGTCGATTCCCGCTACATTTCCCAGTACTCCAAAGCCGTTCAGTTAATGAAAGACCTTCCCAAAAGCGACCCACGTAACTTTTTTCAACAAGCAAATATTCACTGTGCTTATTGCAATGGCGCGTATGACCAGCTCGGTTTCTCTAATCTCCAACTTCTTATTCATAACTCCTGGCTGTTTTTTCCGTGGCATAGAATTTACTTGTATTTCCATGAACGTATACTTGCGAAGCTCATTGGAGACGACTCCTTTGCTCTGCCTTTTTGGAATTGGGATTCTCCGGACGGCATGCGAATACCCTCTATGTACCTAAATAATTTTTTCTTTAATATTTCTTCTTCTTCTTCTTCTTCGCTTTATCATCCAAATAGAGACCCTTCCCACCAGCCGCCGGTAATGGTGGATCTCAATTTCCTTCAAGTTGGAAGTGATCAGGCCGTCGTATATCCTAGTGTGGATGACAATCTCAGGATCATGTACAGGTGCAGGCAACTTCAATATAAACAAAAAGAAATATATTTCAAATGCATGTAAAAATATTTTTATAATCCTTTATTGATTTATGTTTCTCTGCAGACAGATGATGGAGAACGGGGCAACCACGGAGCTGTTCTTAGGCTCCGCATTTCGAGCAGGAGAGCAACCAGAACCCGGTCCAGGGTCAGTGGAAGTCATTCCACACAACACGCTTCATGACTGGACCGGCGACCCGCGGAAGCAGAACAGGGAGGACATGGGAGCTTTCTGTTAATAAATTCAAAATATTTAATCATATTATTTGAATGGAAATATGGTTTCATTTGTGTGGATGTGGTTTATTTTCTTAATTAAATGTAGTTAATTGTAAGTGAAAGGGTGTGTGAAGCAATGTTTCATTTGAAAGTGAAAGGGTGTATGTGAAGTGATGTCTAATTTAGATAAAAGAGTTGTAATGTGTGCATGAGATAATGAATAGAAGAAAAAGTTTGTTTGTTTCTTCTTCTCTCATTTTTT